GACGGGCGGGCCGAGGGGCCAATGAGGAGCCGAGCTACCGCCTCGAGTGGCGGCCGTTGCGGCGCGGGGCGGGGCGGTTGCTTTCGGAGGCAGTCGGCAGGTGGGGTGGGGGAGGTGGCGCGAGGCGGCGCGAGGCTGAGGGGGCGGGCGGCCCCTTGGCGCCCTTCCCCCGGCGGCGCCTGAGGCGGGGGCGAGGTGGGGAAGATGGCGGGCGTCTGGAGTGGAAAGCAACGGGAGGGGGGAGGGAGTTCTGCCGGGTAGAGTTAACTCGTCCTCTCTGCGGTAGCGGCCGAGTATGTGTGTGGAGCTGTGGGTGCCCTGGGTACCCCTTTCCGTGGGTGTTCTCCGGTGGCCGGAGCCTTGCTGAGGCTGCGGCAGGGTCCCGTGTTGTGGGGCTGGTCTCTCCGGGGTAAGGCGGAGTGTGCCTTGCGCTGATCGGGGGTGCCTAGCCTGGCCGTCCCCAGTGAGTCCCGCTGCAGGCCCGGTGGGCGGCTAGGGGTGTGCGGGTGGGAGCGCCCACCCACCTCTTCCAGGCGCTGGGGAGGGGAACCTGTCTCCATCACGGCCCGATTCTTGGAAGGCGGCTTGGCCTGCCCTCTCACGCTCAGCTGTAGCTGAAAAGACTGAAGTGAGGGAGGAACTCGGCGCCCGCTTTGAGTGCAGAATAAGCAGAGTTACTTCTGCTGTCTGGCAGCGGTTGTGTTACAGGGACTGGTCCATGTCTGCCTTGTCGGACAGGGAAACCCAAAGGCCTAGAGCTCAGTTCACTGTCTTTTTGCCTCTTATCCCTGCTTGGGTATGTCTTGCTGCTGTGGCATCCCAAAACCATAGCAGATGTTCAGGCACAGGTAGGAAAAGGAAGTCACTTCCTGTAAGTATTTACAGCTTAGAGACAAAGGTTAAGTCTAAGGGAGCAACAGAGCTAAAGCAGTTGATTAGGTAGGAATTCCAGTCTTTCTGCTTTCCTTTTGTTCTGTTGCACACTTAAACTCCCTGTATTTTAATACCACATTGGAGTACAACAGGATAATTCTTTTGATAAAGCAATGTGTGTAGTCACAGTAACAGCTTAAGTCCCTGATTTTCTTAATTTAAGCAAATAGAGCTCTGTAATCCCATATACAGTTCTTTGTGGTACTTAGCATAAGTAAATGTATTTGCAGAATCAAGGGCTAAGTTACTTACCCAAAATTATAAAGCAAGTCCGGGAGAGTCAGGAACAGCAGCAAAATGCTGACTCAAGTTTTATATTTTAATTGCTGTAATAATTATTGTTTTTATTCAACATCTTCATCACATCTTAGGCTTAACTCACATTGTAAAAATACGTGTGCTCATCCCGTCAACTTTCACACAGACACATGCAGAAGTACAGTCATTTGAGTAGTTCAGTCAAAATTACTCATAGATAAATGTTTGGAGAAACCATACCTGCAAAGAGATAGCTATACCTGGTATGTGGGCAGCTCACGTGTGCAGATCTACTCAGAGGTTAAAATGAGCATGTGATTTGACAATGGAAAAGACACGTTGCCAAACAGTTTGCATACCATGAACAACTGAGATTCTACAGGGAATTTACTATATTATTTCCTGAATCTGAAGAGAGCTCTGAGTCATCGATTGTAATAAAGGTGAACTTTTGTTATAGAAATATATAAACCCCCATAAAGTCCCACTCTATTCAAAGGGTTACGCTTTGAATTGGAATCACATTACTTTCTTGGAGAGTAGCTCTGCAAAAGTTAAATTAAGGTCTCTGAGTGATTCGGGGCTTGATCCAAAGCCCGTAAAATCGGTAGGAAGGTCTTTGGCGTACATGGGCTATTATGACTACTTGAAGATCATGGAGCAATGATACTTTGTCATCTGAGCAACACATTGAGGAACTTTTGCATTGGTTTGGTTTGGTGCAGATACTCAGCCATTCTTTAGAATTGGTTTACTTTGTTTTATTCACTGTAGCTAAAGCATTCACATTTTGTATGAAAGTAACTTGTCTCTCTTGCTTCCAAATACAGCCCTGATGCTAAGGAGGTTTTATTTTCTGAAAGTATGTTTTCTCCAATTGCCTTAAGATGCATAGCGAACTTACAAGTGATGTATTTCCCACCCCCCTTGAGTAACTGGGAAGCTGCCTATGATTTCACTGGTTTCATCATTTATTAGAGCTACTCTTTATTCTTCAGCAAAGCTCTTGGGAAGGAATTGCGTTTTGTCTGTGTCAAGTCATTAAAGTAGAGGTGGGAGGAGAGGAAAGGATGTGGAACTGTTTGTTCCTGAGGCTGTCTTGATATACTTAAATATCTTCCAGCAATACAATTGCCTATAACATTAAAATGAGTGAATTCTTGGCTTAAGTATTGAAGATTGTTGGGGAAAACAGTCTTATTTAACCTTGTGGGATATAGTTGCAATGCAGCTAGGTACACGAGTATAAATCATACTGACACTAAGAGAATGGGCTCTTTTGAGATATGCAAACTGATAAAGAAACTGCATATCTGAATAAAACCTCAGCAAGTAATTTGCACGCTACATTAGGCATTCTAATTGTCCTCTTACTGTAATACTAAATAGAATCAGTTTACTTTGGATAGGGAGAGATCAGTGGGGTTTGACTCTTCCTTGATACTGACCATTACAGATGCTCTCCTGCGTCTCCATTGCCTGTTTGTGCCCTGTGCCATCTAGATCTGCCCGTCTTTAAATCTTATCACTACCTAAGAAATTGACCCTTTAAAAATACTTTGGATTCCTACCCACCTCAACTTTCTATGCCAGTATCGTTACGCGTGCTGTCTTTGAACTATAAAACAGTTCATATCACGGATGTAATATCACAGATGCATCCAATACTTCATTTGATGCAACATTTTCCATTGAATTAAGTTAAACTAGGAAGAAAAGTCATGTCCAAAAAGAACGAGACAATTGTATGAGTAACAGAGCTTAATGAATGGATTTCCAGCCAACTGAAACCATTTTCTACAGCTAGACCTTTCTTTCCTATGTGGATTCTCTGGCATCTAGTGGTAAGTGAGCCCACACTTCAAGCTTGTCTGAGGCATTTATAGGAGCTGTCTCTTCTGCCCAGCTGTCGTTTTTTCATGAGACTTATGAATCATAAGGACAATTAACATTTGCATATACAAATTTTTAATATTATTGAAAAACAGACAGAGAACAGATAATGAGATGGAAGGAGTTACAGAAATTCCAGCACTTTAAAATGAAACAGGCTAATCATGGAATGCAAAGATTAACATAAAAAGAAGGAAAGAGGCCATAATCAAGAGATCTTCTCTGGGCAGATGGCGACACTGATTTCTTTGAGAGAAGTGACTGCATTCTTCCATCAATGCTACAATATTCCCTGACCTTAAGTCTTGTATAGAAGCTCTTGGACTACTTAGTCTTTTTCCTATTTGTTTTCACCCTTCAACTGTGTTGTTCCAACAGTATGAACTCAGTAGTACAGGGGCTGGATTCTATGGTGGACTTTTTTCATTTCTCTCTTGCATAATGACAGTCCCAGAGACAATAACGCACACAGGGCTTTCTTTATGCTAGAAATATAGGGTGTAAATGAGAGAAGACCTAGAACTAGTATGAAATGAGATACAGGAAAATACCCAAGAGATTTGAAGAAGGGACTTGCTATTAGGGTTGGATGTGGAAGGAAGGGAGATGAGGGCAATGGAAAGCTGACACAGATTTGAGATGGGGACATGATTGTATGCAGAATAGGTAAGTCTTTTAATAAATATTCAAACAAGATTTTCTAATGGATTTTTCTTGTTCTTATCTCTAGCTGGTACTGATTTTGTTAAGGAGAGAGCAGCAGTTACCACAGCCTTGGAGAGGAATTTAACTTAAAACTCTGACCAATACAGACATCATGGAAAAAGTAATAAAAATATTAATCTTTTACTTCTCAGCAGTCATATAAAATGCCTCAACATAATTTTAAACTGTAAAGATAGATAATATTCTGAGTCACTATAATATCAGCCTTTAAAAGAGAGGGAGTGTATCACTGGTCTATGAATATGTCCATTTTACACAGGGACAAAAATACTTAGTGCGTCCTATAGCAAGTGTAAGCTATTTAAACTGTCCAAGTAAGCATGAGAAGTAGGAAAGGAAAAATATGTAAAACATAAAGGATTTTTTATTATATTCAGTGAGGGATGATAGTGTACAATGTCACCATGTTCATCATGAAAGAAAATCACTTATTGCACATCAGCTACAACTTTTTCTTGGATGTCAAATGGCTGTTGCTTTGAATTTCCTGTACCTGACTCTTCAGTTGAGAGTTTAGGTACTCATCTAAGGCATTAATGAAATTCCCACTAAAATCAAATGGCAGGACTTTTTAATGGAATTTGAATGAGGCCATGTATAAGAGAAAAGTACAAATGTAA